TCTGACTGAAGCCTTTTTTGCTAGAGAGACTTGATTCCCTGACTTGTGCATCAATGGCCCAGATTTTAATTTTGAAACCATATCTCTCATCAGTTGGATTATGAAATAAGAATCCAACCGTGATTTTCTTCATGTTCTGATTATGGAAAACGATATTTTTGAGGTTTTTCCATTGGCTTCGTATTGTTTAATCATTTTATGTAGTGAAAGCCATTAATTGGCTGATAGAGGGAAAGCCTTCTTCATTTTGCAAGGAGAGGAAAGTTGAATGCAGAATAAAAAAGATAATATCAAGTTGACAGCAAAACGGAATTGGACATACTTTTTAAATAACAATACCTTTACTGTGATTGTAGTAAGGTGGCGCACCGGTCCTCGCCAAGAACCCTCTGTTTCGACATGGTGGAGAACAATCATCTAGACTTACGACTTATGAGGCGAGAAAAAGCTGGGACGTCTAATTCCGTTTCAAGGTGAGCGACTTATGACTGAATCATCTAGAACCTGGATCAAGATCCAAGTTAATTTATATTTAAGTTTCAAATCAAATAGATATAATGATGAGTAAAAAAAAATTTGAATGAATCTGTTACTTTATGATAGGATATTTTTTTTTCTATTCAACTCATGTTATATAATTATATTATTATTAGCCAAAATAAAACTAGAATTATATTATTAAAAAAATCAATTATTTATTACATATTATATATGATTATTAAATAATAAATATTTATTTTAATATATTTATATATGTGATATATAATAAATTATTGACTTTTTCTATTAATGTGAGTATATGATTTGATTTCAATAGAAGTAACATATTAAGAATTACCGTATCATAAAGTCATTTTTCTTTTTTAATGAAATATATTTTATTAGTAATAAAAATAAAATCAAGAGTCTTAATTTATTCTTTATAATATACTTGCTTCATTTTAAAAGCTTCATACTAGTGATTTAAATTTGTGTTACATTTTAATATTGTTTTAATGTATGTTGCGTTTGGCCCAAAAAAAAAAAAACGTTGCATTTTAATTTTTATTTATTATTATTTTAGTTTTAAATCAAATAGTGAGAACTATTTTTTTTTTTATGAAAACATATTTTTATTAGTAATAGAGTCAGTCCAAATCATTTTTTTCAAATTATGTTTGCTTCATATTAGATACTAAGGAATGACAAAAAGGAATATAAGGAATATTTAGGAAAAAAGGAAAAAAAATCATGACAATCAATAACAAAAATAAATTATGCAAAGGCTATTTCAACATTTTGTCAATAAGTTTCTACAATTAATTTTGAAATATGTATTATTGTTATAATTTTATTATGAACCCAAGTTTTTGGTTTATATATTTATTTATATTTTTTAGTTTAATTGAAATTTTTTGTTGTTACACCCGTAATTACAATAAATAAAACGCACCCGAAACCCAAAGTCTCTAACCTAATCTTCAATGCATTTTCTTCCTCTCTAAGAAAGTACCCCAACGGCGCCACTGCCCCATCTTCTTTCTCCCGATCCCATCCCACAAGACCCTTACTTGCCTGCTGCCTTAATCAGCAAAAATTTGTTCCTCTCCCGATCCCGACTCCCAGCTAAATTATGATTAACATATTATTAGTTCTCAAACTTTACTTTAGAAAAAAGAAAAGTTTCCATTGAAAATCTTCTTGAGGGGAATTGGGTTCGTATTATCTACAACGAAGTATTGTTTGCTACTATAATTTTATGATTCATGGATTTTTTTTAAGCCGTCAAAAACACAAGTAACAATAATAAAAAGTCCCAAATCTCAATGCTAAACTGCGGCCTAATCTTCTTCTTGGATTGGGTTATTTTTGTTGCTTTATCTTTTTGCCAAAATTTTTGTTACTTATTCAGTCTCAACGGCTCAACCCACTTTTGGAATTTAGGGCTATAAGAACTAAATAGGCCCAATAAGTTGAGTCTTATTAGTACCCTATTCAAGTCTGATGATTGATCATTTCATTCGACAAATTTCAAAGATGAAACTTGTGTGTTAAAAAAGTCAAGGATTTTTATATGCAACGGCTAACCACCGACTTTACTTCCGCCCGGCGGTGGTGCCCCTCTATTCTTTCCGAAAACAAACCTCTGACACGTATCGCCACCGTGGGTTACTTCCGCCGTAGTGTCCGGCTACAGCTTATACAGGTTTTATGCTGTCGTTTAACCTCCTTGAAGGTACCGGACGCTTCGATTTTGTTTTGATTTTTTGAGGAATTTAATTAGCGTAATCTAATTATGGCCATTTTACTTTCTTTTTGAGTTTACTGTTCAAGTCTTCTTGGATTTTGCATTTCAAAAATTTTAGCCTGAGCACTACATTTCATTGATTAGGTTGATTTAATTAGAAATTAGAATTTTTTTGTTGAAGCAAGTCTATATTATTTGTTTAGAAAATTATGCTAAAACTATAAAAATATATATACTTGCCTTCTATTTCTGGAAAACTTTTTTTTTATTTTTTATTTTTTGGTTTGAAAAACTAATCAAATTTAGCAACATTAGAAATAGGAGATAGAAAATTGAAGTGGATGATTTGGAAATAGTTTCCAAAATACCTTACTTTTCATACCAGACTCAACTGAGCTTATATTAAGGAGGAATAATGGAAAATTCTTGCCCACCTATAGAGCTGATGACAGGACAGGATTCATTGAGGTATATGAACGGTTTAATTTTACTCTTTTTATTTGCTTTAAAATTATGGAAAACAAGTTTCTTTTTTCTTTAGCAAGGAGTTTTTATGTTTAAATATGTTTACTAGGATAAAGGGTTTGTTTTTACTCATCTTAAAATATTTGATTTGGATAGTTCTAAGTTATTTTTTCTCCCTGTTTGTAATTTCTTAGTGTTTGGTTGACATTAACGGAATCCTGTTTTTATACTATTGTAGTTTGGAAGCCAGTGATAGCGATGCTTTAATCTTGCCTACAAAATGAAGCAATAAAAGGAAAGGGAATGATTAGGTATAAACAGCGATGTTTTCTATTAGCCCTTGATTTTTGTTTTGATCATATAAAGTAAGAACTTGTGGTCAAATACTTATGTCTAGACTAGCTTGAAAGGATCAAAGAGAAACAAAGCCCCAAATTTTAGTAAAACTCAGATAAGAATGTTGAAGAAGTTGGAGGTTCTTGGTCTCTTTTGATGATTGATACCCAACTTTTTTTTGCTTCATTTTTTCTGTTAGGGAGATAACTTCTAGTACCAGAGGAGAAAGGGAAAGCACTTTTGCTATCAAAGAGCATTGAGACATTGGAGTACTTTCCCTTTCTCTTTTCTAAATAATGTTTCCTACTTTGTCTGTCTTTTGTTGAGAAAAGTTCTTGAACGCTTGACTTATGCTATAACATTTAACATTTTCAGAATACAAGATTCCAGAAGATACGTACTGTTTGCTGCAGCCTTCAAAAACTGTTGGTTGGGTTTGTTCAAATTTTAGTTATAAAATATAATTATGTGGTTAACGTTAATTTGCTTTAGGTAGGCTGCAACGATGCGGGAAAAACTAGGAAAAGAAGTTGCAAAACATGCGCGTGATTCTTTAGCATCTTCTCAAGAGCCAGTTTTGGGTAAGTACCTAGGCCCGAGCTGCAGGTTCGTTGATACCTTACCTTGGGAAGAAGGCACTAAAACCTGTATTCCAAAGTTGCCTGTCAATAATGGGAGAAAAAGCTCTATATCGATGGTAAGTTGGATTTCGAAAGTTTAATAAGTATATCATTTGAAGGATAAACTGCATGTAAAGGGACATTGTAGACTTGCCATTCACGCTGCTTAATTCTTTCGCCGAATGCGTCCTAATGCGCATGGTTAAAAGAAGAGATTTAGAAATCAAACGTCCCATCTAAATAAGTGTAATTATTTCATTTTTGGTGCAGAGTAATTTACAGTAATTATTATTATTATTTGATGACAGCTCCAAAATCCAAATGCAGTGAATGTGGCCTAGCTTTGTATATAGATTTTTGAGGTCCCATAAATGTCTTTGCCGCATAGATGTTGGCTTTACTTTCAATGTAAAACTTCCCAATTGGGCTTTTCGGGACACAAAGCCATGCTGTGGGGTTTGCTACACATTAATCAGTTATGTTCATTTCATTTTGCCGGAAGAAGTAGCTTTCAATCTCTTATCCTTTCACAACCACTTTGTTGGACTCTTTTGTACATTGTATGTATTATATCCTTTCCCTTGGGTTTTTTTCTCTACTTTTTAAACATTTGATCAAGGAAATTTTCACGATATAATCATCTTAATATTTATATGACATCTTGACTAATTCTATTGAAATTTTTAAGATAAATTGAAATTCTTATTAGGGCTTTTAAACATATAACGTACTTGATTAATGTGTCAAATCTTTTTTTTATGGGTTAATATGTAAAATGGTTCTTGTATTATTTATTTTTTTTAATTTGATATTTAAAAAAAATAAAATTTTCATTTTGATATTTTAAATCTTATTTCGTTTAATATTGTGATATTATTATTGTGAGTTAAGTGATTGATGTGATCTGAATATTTAATTAAATTTTATCATATATCATAAATGTTTAATTATTATCACATCAACAAAAAATTTTAAAAATATAAAAAATAAAAATTTATTTTTTAAAAAATAAAAAAATAGATGATATGAAATATTTATATCACATATTATAATTTTATTATGTATTAATGTTACGTAAGTAATTTATTTAATAGAATAAAAATTTAAATATTAAAATAAAATTTTTATTTTTAAATATTAAATTAAAAAAATAATATAAGGATATTTTTATATTTACGTGTTTCTTTTATCTCCAAGACTATCCACCTCTTCTCATGTAATTGGCGAACACCTGGCTATTGAATTTTGACATACATTGGGTTGGGGAAAGAGAGCCTAAGTCTCCATCCTCGTCTAATTGTCACTTGTAGGGGTCATGGCTGATGGCATGGAGTAACATCAGCTCCATCTGGTCAAAGTATTATCATTGTTTCCTGAATTACAAAGTAATTTGTGAATGATTTTATCCAACTTCCGCGTTAGATGAGATAATCCAAGTCAGGTTCCGCACGTGTAAAACCTCCCTTTGAATTCGTGCGCCGCCTTCTCTTGTCCGTGAAGCCTTTTCCTGTGGGGATATCGCCGTCCTTAACTTCACTTTACTCATTTTTCCTACTCCTTCCCTTTATATATGTATATATATGTTTTTTCTTCTCTCTTAGTGCAACATCAACAACATCAAATAAAGAAGCTCAAAGGGGAAAGGGGGAGCTTTCAATCTCTCTCTTTCGTAAAATGGACCGCTTGGATCACGCGCCTGACCTCTGCAACTAATCTCTGGCCGTCCAACCTCCTTTCCGGTCTTCACTAGCTCGGTAATCCATTTGATTCCATTATTTTTCTTCATATATATATTTTTTATATTTCATAGTAGATTAACTTTGAGATTTAATTTTTTAAGATAAATTATGTTTTGATTATAATAAATCCTGGTTAATGAGTTTCAGGGTATATTGTTGCAAGACGAGTATTTTTCTTCTTTCTTTTTCTTTTTTTTTCCTATGTGGTATGGATGGTTTTTTGTTTCTTAAGTTGTGTTTTGTTCGAGGCAAAATTTTTTCGTGGAAAAAATAGTTTCTTTCTTTCTCTAGAAAGGTAAGTTTCATTTCATATAATTAATTTAGTGATGTGATTACTGATTAGCGATATCACCTTTTAGAAACACTTTTAAGAACAAATTTTTTTCGAAGAGGCTAATGATCGATTGTTCCCGGGCTTTATATATACTTATATATTTATATATATTTTTTAAATGTATAAAGATGGAGAAGATTATGGAGAATATTTATGGAGAAAGTATATCATTTTCATTCGATGAATAAGGAAAAAATTGTAATGAAATCTTATTCTAATTTTTGGTAGGAAAATAAAAAGTTAAAATAGAATCTTATCGTGTCATTAGTTTTTCTACTAATAAGGTGGAATCTGTCAAAATGTGTATTATATAGATTTCAAAAAACCTTCCACTAATATAAGAACGTCTATCAGGATATCTGTGAGTGGAAGAAGTTTATCATTAGAAGTTATAAACCTTTTTTTTCTTGATTTTTTTCAGATTTAGCGTGGTTGTTGTCACATAATGGACAGTTGCGATTGTATTGACTCGCAGTGGCCACAAGAAGAACTGCTGGTTAAATATCAGTATATATCAGATGTCTTAATCGCCCTTGCTTATTTCTCAATTCCCTTAGAACTTATATATTTTGTTCAAAAATCTGCGTTCTTCCCATATCGATGGGTGCTTATGCAATTCGGTGCTTTTATCATTCTTTGTGGAGCGACTCACTTTATAAACTTGTGGACATTCACTATGCACTCTAAAGCTGTTGCTGTGGTGATGACCATTGCGAAGGTTTCATGTGCTATTGTATCATGTGCAACTGCTTTGATGCTTGTACACATTATTCCTGATCTGTTGAGTGTTAAAACTCGGGAATTATTTCTAAGAAACAAGGCCGAAGAGCTTGACAGGGAAATGGGCCTCATTCTCACTCAAGAAGAAACTGGAAGGCATGTGAGGATGCTGACTCATGAAATCAGAAGCACGCTTGACAGGCATACGATATTGAGGACTACCCTTGTTGAATTAGGTAGGACCTTGGGCCTGGAGGAATGTGCCCTCTGGATGCCATCAAGGACTGGTATGAATCTGCTACTTTCCCATACTCTAAACTACCAAATAAAAGTTGGATCTACTGTGCCAATAAATCTGCCTATAATCAATGAAGTCTTCAATAGCGCTCGAGCAGTGCATATACCCTATACCTGCCCACTAGCTAGTATGATCAGGCCTCTAGTAGGAAGATATGTGCCACCAGAGGTTGTTGCTGTTCGGGTACCCCTTTTACATCTATCAAATTTCCAAATCAATGACTGGCCTGATCTCTCTGCAAAAAGCTATGCAGTCATGGTTCTTATTCTCCCCACCGACAGTGCCAGAAAATGGCGAGACCATGAATTGGAACTTGTCGAAGTTGTGGCAGACCAGGTCATCCTATGATTTATGTGCTTTCTTTCATTGGCTGCTTCTATGATGTCTTAATGATATGCTCATCTTCAGTTTTAATTATGTACTTGGCTTGAAGTTATGAATTTAGTTTTAAAAAGCTCTAATGACAGGACTTGATCTTCTTCCTCCTTATTCTAGTTGGAAAAGATTATTTAATTGTTATGAGCCTTTGATTCTTAACATGACTCCAGCGCTGAACTCATGGGGTAATATTAGTACAGGTTGCTGTTGCTCTTTCTCACGCTGCTATTCTGGAAGAATCTATGCGGGCTCGTAATCAGCTCGTGGAGCAAAATGTTGCTTTAGACTTGGCTCGTCGGGAGGCTGAGAAGGCAATTCATGCGCGGAATGATTTCCTTGCTGTAATGAACCATGAAATGCGCACACCAATGCATGCAATTATTGCATTGTGTTCACTTCTTTTGGAGACTGAGCTAACTCCAGAGCAAAGAGTTATGATCGAGACAGTACTAAAGAGTAGCAACCTTTTGGCAACCCTTATCAATGATGTTCTGGATCTTTCTCGACTTGAAGATGGCAGCCTAGAATTAGACTTTGAAATGTTCAATCTTCATGGAATCTTCAAAGAGGTAGTGAATTGTGATTTTTTTATGAAAGAAATGGAAATAATTTAGCCTTTGTGGTTCAATTTGGTAATGTTGATATTTTTGCAATTTTAGGTCATTAATCTGATAAAGCCCATTGCATTTGTAAAGAAGCTATCTATGACTATGATTCTGGATCCTGATTTGCCAATGTATGCTGTTGGTGATGAGAAACGGCTTATGCAAACTATTTTAAATGTTGTGGGTAATGCTGTGAAGTTCACGAAGGAAGGTTATGTTTCAATTATGGCTTCTGTTGCAAAACCAGAGTCTGTAAGAGATTGGCAACGTCCAGAATTTTACCCGGTGTCAAGTGAAGGCCACTTCTACTTACAAGTGCAGGTTCTTGACTGCTTCATTTAATTTAATTTTTTTTGGTTTACTTCTAGTTAAGTTTTGCAATATGACGATGAGGGCATCTCCTGTAATTTTAAGATGAGTGCAGTTTTTAGTTATGATGGCATCTTCCGATTGTCCATTGCTATCTAATGCTTTAATTTTCCATGCAAATTACGCCATTTAGGGTTTCCATTGAAGGCATCTCTTGGTTTTTATTTATGACTTACAAACCAATGAATTACCATCCATGTGTTCTTGTTATGGAGAATGTCTGGAGCTTTACTAGCTACAATGCTGTTGTTGATCCTATCATCTATTCTGGCAGGTCAAGGATTCGGGTTGTGGTGTCCTCCCACAAGAAATACCGAATCTTTTTACTAAGTTTGCACAGCCCCAAAGTGGATCTGGTCGAAATAGTGGAGGTGCTGGACTTGGACTTGCTATTTGTAAAAGGTAAAACTAGAAATTCTGAATTCCTTTGCACCGACAACAGTTCGTCGTTACTCTTAATGTTCGAACCATTCAAAGTAGGCATGAAAATAATGTTACCAACTTGCTGTAGCCATATTGATCATCCATTCTCAAACTATTGAAAGGTTTTTGATTAACTAGGTATCTCATCAGCAGATTCTAGGCGTCTTATACCTTGTTCAAATGTTAAATCAGGTTTGTAAATTTGATGGGGGGCCACATATGGATGGAGAGTGAGGGCCTTGGCAAAGGTAGCAGAGCAACATTCCTGGTCAAACTTGGGATCTGCAACAATCCGAATGATTCATCTATCCATCAAGTTTCATCTAACATTAGAGCTTATCATGGAAGTGCGGATTTGACTGGACAAAAACCGATATTAAGAGATAGCGATCCCGGTACTTCATCCGATGCACGATACCAGAGGAGTCTTTAGATGATAGTGGGAGCTAATGTTGCAATGAGAAAAGTCGATTTTCATATTGTTTGAGGGTGAAGTTGATGAATGCTGTCTGAAACTGAAGCTTGAATATAATCTCATGTTAATAGAGTTAATGAAGGTAGCAATTTCCATGTGTTATCTCTATGTAATCCTTCACATTATCTCAACCGCAAAAAGAAAAGATAAAAAAGCTGTATAAAAAGGATTTATCGTTCGGCGGTGAATAATTTGCCGGATCAATTGATTCTCAAAATGGCATTAGGTAAATCTTCTAACCAGATTTTTCCTTTTTCATTTTTTTTTGTTCCCTAATGAGAACAGCTCCGTTAAGAGTTTAGAGTTAGGGTTAGTGGAAATTTAGACTTTTTTAATTGACCGGCTACTCGTTTCTATATCAATCCCCTTGCGCATTGTGCATTGCCCATCATAATCGATCTCATCTCCAGGCACGTCCGGATTAATAGCAGTAAAATTCTCAGCTTTTCTACCTACGTTCCCCATTTTACTTTTGTAGTTGGCCACATAAGGACAAGCAACAAACATTTTACAGAGGTATTAACGAAACCCAGAAAAACTAAATGTCATAATATAATTAAGCAAAAGACAAAACCAGTAAACCAAGAACAAAATCATGAAATCTTAATCCAACTAAAAGAACAGGTTCATATTAACCAAAAACAGCAAACTGGCTCGACCAAAAACCTGCTGGACATACTACTGTAGGGCATCTTTTTTACTTCTTGGACTCCTTGGAAACCCTGAATAGATAATAGGAGTAAGATTATTATATGACTAGAATACTGATCAATTGCCAAAGAAAATTCAATCTCAAATATATACTTACTCAGCTGGTTGAGTGGCAGCTGCAGGTGGTGCTGCTGCTGGCTTACCTCCTCCTGGTCCCTAAGGAGATTAAACAAAATAACATGAAAACCACATCATAACTTAAGGAAAAAAAAAGAATTTGACCCGTAAATATAGAAGTAATCGGTTCCTTGTCACTGATTGTAATATCTGGTCAAGGAATCATGAGAAAAATGACAAGAACTATACAAACAAAAAAAAAGAAAGATAACAGAATTTCAAGGCGTGGAACATCAATAGTTTCCATAAAAAACAAAAAACCACAAAGAAAAGAAAACAGGTAAAACAAAATCATTATGCTCAGTGCACACCAGAAGTGCCACATGGTACAAAAGTTCTTACCTGAGCCAAGCGTTCCTCTCTCCTAGAAATTTTTCTTTCCCTGCTTGCCTTATTTTTAGCCCTCTTAGCCTCGAACTGATCAACCAAAGTCTTCTCTCTTGCCTTCTCAGCCTTAGATTTGTGGATGCTCTCCATGAGGACTCTCTTGTTCTTAAACACGTTACCCTTAACTTTCATGTACATGTCATGGTACATGTGCTTGTCAATCTTCTTTGATTCCCTATACTTGCGAAGCAAGCGTCTGAGAACGCGCATCCTTCTCATCCACAAGACCTTTGTGGGCAACCTTGCCTCCCTTGTACCCTTCCGCTTACCTAGAATCAGCATAGGATTTAAGAGTCAGCTAATCAATATACATATTTTTCCCAATATGCATCACAAACTTCTGATGGCTAACAAATGATTCCTAACAGGATGAAAACAATCTCATCATTACTTCATTTCGTCCTCTTTTACTATATGTTGGACATCCTAACTTCAAAAACATGATACTTAGATTTAAACGTGGTACTTAATGTATAAGCATGCAACAAAGTTATTCAACCTACCTACTCTGCATCTATATATAACATCAAGTCTGGTAAATCTCTCAATTGTAAATAAAATTAAGAAAACATGCCATATCCAGAGTGGCGTCCTTTTCTCTTGGCTTCCTTCATGCGACGGGCACGAGATCGAGAGTGAATCTTGGTTGGTTTCCTGATGATAAAACCATCTTTAACCAGCTTCCTTATGTTCTGGCCTGCACTTTCCAATTCAAATATGAACATGATGATAATCAAGCAATAACAAAAAAGAATACATTTTTTGCAAAAAAAGGAAAAAAAAAAACCTAAAACAAAATGAACGAGTCTATAAAATATACAATCTCTCAGGAGAAACAGATTACATCGACTTGAACTTGCTAGCCAGGACTTGCAAAATCAATTATTCAGAGTTTACAGCTAGGAAAATATGAAATAACAAATTAACATGTGTTTCATTGAAGTAAATTATTCATCTGGCAACTGAAAAAAATGAGAAAGCTTCAATTGCACTCAATTCTCCATGCCGCTGTATACAAAGATGAAAAAGGAAACCATACCAATGTGAAATGTTGGTTTTCTTTGGGCGCGAAAACTAGCAATCCCTCAAGTTAGTTGATGCATTCACCACACGTTTTAGTTAAAAATATTATATTTTTTTGCAACAAAAATTTGGATAGAGTAAACATAACTAATTGCATAATCAGAAACTGAATTGTACATACGCTAAAGTTCATCTCCGCAAACTATATAAAACTTGTCTCTTGTATAAATCAATAAAAAAAAATAAAAAACAGCTATGATAGATATTCCTAAAAGTTAGAAAATTCAGCTTCCCAGCTTTCATTTTTCCAGCAGCTGCTTAAACCTCGGTTTTAATATATATATATATGCACTGAACATCATTTCCACCAATTTATTTGAAAACAAACCATGCAAAATCAAGTCCAAATTAAACCTAAACCTAAAAATGATGATTACGAAAATTTTAAAAAAATAAAAAATAGAGTAGAGGAAGACGTACGGGAGTTGGCCATCGAAATCTCGTTGACTTCATTTGGATCGAGCCAAACCTTTCCCTTTCCACACTTCAGAACGCTGGCTGATAGCCGTTTCTGGAGCTTAAGCGAAACCATCTCTCTCTCTCTCTCTCTCTCTCTCTGGGGTGCAGATAGATGGCTACTGTTAGCAGAGAAGGATGAGAAACAAGTGACAGCGGCTGATTTATATGACCTCCTTAACCCTAGGGTTTGGAGATGGTGGTTTTGCTTCCTGTTTGGACGGGGATGGGTTCGGGTTTTTATCAATGGCGGCGGTAGCTTTTTATGCTAGTGTCCTGGACCGTAAGAGCCCAAACAATTTTTTAATGGACCATGTAAAGTTAAATGGTTTTTTAGGTTTGCCTTGGACAAGTCCCAAGCTTGAAAACCCAAAAGAATTTCAAGTCCAGAAGGGCATATATTTTGGATAAATGGAACACAACAGAATTACAAAGTTGCTGGCTTACTGCTACAACTTTCTTTATTACCGAAAATGTTCCTTAAATGCAAAGAAAACCTCATGTAATAGTCTCGTTCTGAGCTCAGACTCGGACGGCCCAGACCCAGATGATTATCCAACGACTCTCAAGGACTTTACGGACATTGAAGAAGCAGAACAATAAATACTTGGGGGTCAATCCTGTTACAAATGAACAAATCGCGAAAGAGAATATAAGTTAGATGTATTTTGTATATAAGATTATCATAAAATAATATAAAATAATATTATAAATAAATTTAATTAAAAAATATTATTTTATTTTATATTTGATATATATATATATATAAATTAAAATAGAATAATTTATTTATTAGTTAAATTTTTTTTAATTTATATAATTTAAATTATTGATAAATTTTTAAATGTATAATAAGATTTTTTTTTATTTTGATTAAAAATAATTTTATTCTTTTTAAGAGAATTGAATAATTTTATCTTAAAAGAATGATTAATTTTTTATATATAAACTAAATATAATATATACTAATTATTATTATATTTTATTCACTATCTTATATACTAAACATGATCATAATATTTTATATTTTATTATTTCTTTGTTAGACAAGTTTCTAGGGGAGAGAAAATAGAGACTGGTCCAAAGGCAAAGAATTTGCTCGTAATCTAGAAATTGGAGCATAGCCCTTCACTTTCATAATCAAATAAAATTAAGGGAAAAAAGGTCATGCGTTTATAGTAAATCCATTTATGGATTATGTTAGTATTTTAGAAACATTACTGTTAATAATATCGATCCAACAATTTAAAATTTAAAATTTTTTATTTTATTTTTATAGATCATGTTTTACTTTATAAAAAATAGTTACCCAATGCCATATATTAATATTTCATATTGACATATTGAAGCGCCTAATACACAATGGAATTTTGATTAATCTTTTATTATTTACATCGTTGGTATGTTTTTTCCGAGGTACTAAAAGAAAGACTAATGGATCAATTAACCATTTCATCGTTTTACTCTTTAAAAAAAAAAAAAAAAGGTGAATATGGTCAACTTTTACTAGTCTATAATAATTGTGAATCGCACTTTAAGAATAGGAAAAAAAAAAAAAAATATTAAAATAAATGGAGGAGTGAAGCGGGCTGGTTCAGCGTTGGCAAGCCACGCGGTGATTGGGACTCTGAACGTAACGCTTTTGGTAGTACAAGTTTTGGCTATAAATTTAGGTGTAGTACATGCAGATGCGTTAAGGAACTACGAAAACTGTGGGTACAAGGTGAAAACGTACGATACTCTAACAAGCTCAATCTATGAGCGCCAACCAAACTGTGAGTCACAACTTACAATGGAACTAGTCAGGTAGGGACATTGACACGATGCTTCAAACACAGATTGTACGCTAAAACCCGTAACCGCAAAACCACCAGCGCCGCAGCTTGGATTAAATTACTACGTGACCACTACCTGCCCATTTCCTTTACCACCATCTCTGCCTACTCTCCCAACTCACCCGCGTAACCGCGTTGCATTCTCAGTTTGGCTTTCGGCATTTGGGACCCACCCCATTCCTATCTGGAGTTCTAAACTTTCTTCCTCAACTTCTATTTTGACCCTTCTTTCAAATTTCAAACATAAAAGCCCATCTCCGGATTCGTTCAAATGAAATGGTAGAAGATAAGAACAAAAAAATTTTCAACTGATTAGAAGAAATTTTATTTGAGGACAAAGCATAAAGTTTGACGGATAAAGTTGGTAAAATTTTTTATTAAAAATAAATAAATTAAAAGATTTATTATATAAATTAAATATGTAAATTTAGAATAAATTTAAATAAATATTTTTAATAAAAATATTGATAAAATTTTTAACTAAATTTTTAATAATTTTTTACATATTATAAATTTTCATATTAAATTTTATTAATTTATTAATTTAAATTTTTTATTAAAATTTTTATTTACTTATTTTACGACTTCACCTATAAATTTATCCTTTGGAACATCATTCAGATCTTCTTGCATCATATTGCAGAAAATATTGAGCCTAAATACAAGCAAGCAAAATGCCTAGAACAATATCAGTGAGGTGAAAACCAGCAAGTAAATAGCATTCGATTACAATTGTATTTCATGATTTTAAACAAATTTGGGAATTACATAAAAGTTAGTCTAAATCCTAATTAACAAAATTAAACTTACACTACATCATTAAGAAAGAAAAAAGCAAGAATTAATGACCAGAAATCATCAATTCACCCTATTTACAACACCCAAACCATCAACCAAGTAAAAAGGAAAAAGTAAACCAATGGCATCACAAAGCCGTTGATGTCACTGGAACAGCAATGCCATCATCATCAAAGCTCCAAAGATCACCGACAACACTCTCTTGCGGAGCTACGCTATTTTGGGTCGGTGATTGCCCATCCAGATAAGGAATTTGATAGAATTTCATGTAATTCTCGTATGCCATCAGCTCCTCGGACAGTTTCTGCACTTCGTTCTCTTCTTCTTGAACTTCCACCATAGCCTTATTCACTGGCTCTTCTCGTTTCTCTTCTTCCTTTACCGGGACGCAACGAAAATTCACATTCTGATCACCAGAGTAGGCCCCCTCTGAACCAGACCCTAAATCTTCCTCTCCGGATATAACAATTGGATCAGTTGCATAACCGCCAATTTCATTCAAGTCATAATTAAATCCATAATTACTGAGATTATTGTTTTGGGGCTGTTGATAAATAGAAGGATTTGAATTGGGGCTGGGATTCCAGGCAGCAGTTGAGTTATGGTTATCTTTTATTAGATGGATGTTGGGATTATACTGAGTGGAGAAAGCGTCATCTTCGTTGGGGAAATTAACTTTGGCTTTCTTGCCCCTGATTTTGCGAGCTTCTCTGTCATAAGCGCGGGCTGCTTCCTCAGCAGTGTTGAAAGTGCCAAGCCAAACACGAACTCCTTTTCTCGGGTCGCGAATCTCTGCTGCCCATTTGCCCCAAGGTCGTTGCCTTATGCCTCTGTACAGGTTTTTTCTCTGCCTCTTCGCTTTTTTCTCCACTTGCTCATCACCTGTTTCAAAACATGGTTCAACAATCAGGAACCGGAAGTAAATGACAGTTTAAAAAACAAAATGAAATGCAAACGGTCGAAAGCAGAAAGGAAATAGTAGTACCTAAGGGCAGGAAAGGTTGGGGTTGGGATCTTTTCAATTGGGAAAGTGAGTCATCAAGGTCGGCTTTACTCGGATCACAGCTAAAGCCATCGATGTTAGCGAAAGAGGAGTTGGGCCAGATGTCAGAAGCGGTGACACGGCGGCCACGGTTCCGGGGAATGAAACCAGCGATTATAGCACCGCCACACATTTCTTGAAAGCAAAATTAAGGAAGGGAACTATTAAAGCAGGATCAGAAGAGGTCAAGAAAAGAAGGGTTTAAGGAAATTTTGATGATTAAAAAAGGAAAGGGTTTTAAATCTTTTGGAATAAAAGTGAAGAATGAAGATAGAAGAGAAGGCGGGGTATAAGTAGTGGGTGGAAAAACAGAGGAGGGTGCGGGGACCGTGAATGCAAGTTGGGGATTTGGAACCTTCCTGAGTTAGCTTGCGTATCACCTACCTAATTCATATCACCTATTTTATACTAAGATATAATATATCCAATCATAAGTAAATTTTAATATGCAATTTCTATTTATAAATGATAAAATTTTATATAATTTTTACTAATAAATGATTAATTCAAATAGTTAAAATTTATTTTTATCGATAAAGAGATATCAGATTCAAGCTCTGTCGTCGAATGCATAACTTCTAGAACATCCTAATCACATTAAATTTTTTTATCAAAAAAAAATTTATATAATTTTTTTGTTATAATTGAATAATCACATCGATCAAAAATAATTATAAGATTATAATAAAATTATAGGTGAAATATTATCGAGTTTTACCTGCCTTTTATATATTTTGTTTTTAGCTCATTTATTTTTTTTTTAAGTTTTACTAAATTTTATTTTATCATAAAAATGATATTCAGTGATCATTTATTAAAATCATCTTGAATGCATAATTTACATAACATCTTATTCATTTTAAAATTTTCTTGCCAAAAAAATTTTATATAATTTTTTGTTATAATTGAACAATCACCTAGGGAAAAAAATAATTATAAAATTATAATAAAATTATAGGTGAAATATTATTGAGTTTTACCTGCCTTTTGTTCACTTTTTTTTTTTTTTGGCTCCTTTATTGTTATTTTTTTTAGAAAAAAAAAGTTTTACTAAATTTTATTTCCTCATAAAAATGATACTACTGCTATTTTCAGAATTTTACTAGTGAAGCATTATTTTTTTTAGATTCTTTTAAACCAATTTATCGAAATTGAAATAGTCAATAGAGTTGAGTTAATCGTATCAATAGTGTACTACTATATTATTGTTTTATAAATGAGAAAAATATAAAAAGAAATGGAGCATTGGAGTCTTGGATTTTGAATTTGTCTTCTGAATCTTGTAAATAGTTTGCCAGAAAATCAAGTCAATTCATCAAATCCGATTGCATTTATTATATTTGTGGTACCTTTTTCTTTTTTGTTTTTTAATAATTATCAATATATTTGGATTAAAAGAAAGGGAAAGAAAGGAAAGTAAAACAAGATAAACTAAAAGAAATAATTTTTTTATCAAATTTTAATTAAAAAAAATAAAAAAGGTTGAAATAAAATAATTTTTTTTTATTTATAAATCCAAAATTTGTAATACCTCAATTTGAAGAAAAAACAAAAAAAAGGTTAAAAAAATTATTATATTTATCTTTTTATGAATACTAAAAATCTAATAAAAAATTAAGCAGGTTATAATCATTTTATAATTTTTTTTAAAATAAATTTTACATATTTTTTTTAATATAAAATTTTTTTTATAATTTTTTGATGATTTGATTTTGATGAATGATTAAATATAAATAAAATATATTATGATTCAATAATATTTTAAAATCACAAACAATGAAAAATTATAATTGAAAAAAATTATTATAGTCATTCATTTTTTTATTTTTCATTTTTTATCCAAACAATGGTTATTAAAATTTTTTTTATTAATTTTAATTGTCTAAATATGAATTATATGTATTTAAAAAAAATTATTAATATTTATCCAAATATAACTTAAAAAAGAAAATGGAAAGCAATAAATATTAGTACATGTTGGTCTCGTTTAAAGATGATGAAATTGTTTTTGCTCTTCAAATTGTGTAAATTGTTCTATAGGCCAAAAAAGTTGTATAAATTGTTTTAAGCCACAGAAGTTGAAGCGATATTTAAAGGAATAGTGAAACTAGCAATTGTTTGGAGGTCTTAGAAGCAGAATGAGAATAGAGTGAATGATTTAAGCTAGTGATTCATTAGTAAAGATAAGAATTAGAATTTGTTTTTTTATTTTTCATTGAAATAAAAATTATAATTTAAAAATTTATTCTTTCACTCCTCTTTCCTAACCCTTTTATATTTTAAATTTATTTAGAAGGGCTATTGATTCTTTCCTTTTTTATCATACATTTCTTTAATATTATAAAAATTAAATGGGATATTAAAGATTAAAAAAATTAAGACATGTTTAATTATACAGATTAAAGTGATATTTAAAAAATTAAAAGTAACGCAGTCTCTTATTGAATTTCGTAAAAGTAGTGTATTAAATGTAATTTTTTAAAAATAATATTTTACTTAACCTTAATCAGACGTGGGAAAATACAACAATTCAAAGCTAGTGAACCAAAATAAATTATTTTGATAGTAAATTTTACTTAAATTTATATTGCAGGGATATCAACTTATTAATATTTAATAAAAAAATTAATTTTTTACTTGAATAAAGATGAGTATTATATTTTAAAGATAAAAAATATATATGATTTTAAATTTTTATGAATTACAAGGATAAAAATAAAAATAAATTTAAAATATTTGTTAAATGTGAAATATAAAAATAAATATAATATAAAATAAAAATAAAAAATATTTTACCCCTTACATATATTTTTCATGGACGTCCTAACAAAGCTAGCATATTTGGAAAAGATTGGTGAATACACCAGATAAATATAAGAAAGGCAAGGACAGTTAATCTTGACAATAACAAAATAGAAAGCATAATAAACTAAAAGTAATACTAGTAGTAATAGTAAACAATAATATTTTCACCCACGATGGATAATCAATTGTCGCCAATGGAATACTAACAAGTTGATGAAAGTGGGAACCGCTAAGCACATAGGATCATGTCTTAAACTCGATGGCCATGTCGACGATGGTTGACTGGCTGCTGGTCACTGCAAACTCACCTAAGCCAGGTGATGTTGGCTCTTAATTTTGGACCGCTAATCCGAATGTCAGTTTGGAAGAGTTCAAATGGATGCGAATGCGACAGACGCCTCATCTAAATAAGGTGTCCTAGTTAAATTAACTGGTTAAGCTCTGGCGAATGTACTGTAGTTTAGGATTAGGAAAAAAATGTCGTTGGTGAATAAAAAATTAATAAAAGTAAGACATTAGATGAAATTTGGGCCAGCTTTTGATGGTTTGGGCTGAGACGGGTTATATTAAGTTAAAAAAGAAGTCCACCCCATTTAGCGGAAACCCAACGGGATCATTGGTGGACGTCATACTAAGCCCACATCGTCCAACGTGATTTGTGTTGATTGTCTCAACTCTGGATTGAACCAACCACGGTGATAAAAAGAAAAGATATACAAATATAATGGGAAAAATAAAATTAAGGAATGTGCCTGAAGATCTTGAAGGGATTAAACTGATTGGTTCTTTAAAGAGTTAAAAATCTATGGGAAAGTTGAGTTATATATACGAGGATCTAAACTATTCAATTTGTTACCCAATCTTTGAGATGCAACTTACTGTGAAAACCTTCGTACGCCGGCAGACGAGATTTATTGGGGCGGCACGAAAAGGAGCATTCATGTACATCAGATGGTGGTACCCAAGTCTAGAAATCACGTTGAGATCGTGCATTCAAATAAATCTCTACATTGTTTTATTTTATTTCCTAATCTTAATCATTAATATGTGTATGTTTGATCAATTTCTCTATAAAGGGCAACGGTGGCAGCCCCTGTTCTTCATCCATCCACTTATATTTCTCTCTTTGTTCTTATAACTATATTACATTGCAGAGTTATAGAAATATTGTCATGGCTGTCTCCCGTCTGTCCTTGACATTCTCATTACTTTTCCTGTCATTGCTAGTCATTAAATCCGCTTATGGTGATGCTTCATCTAAATATGGTTTTGATGGAACACCAGCTTACAGCCCTCAAGCAAAGCCAGAAGGAGACGAAAAGCACTATTATGGCACTAAACCAGACAACTACGAGGCAAAGCCAGAAGAAAAGCCTGAGTATGGCAGAAAACCATACGTTGTTAAACCAGGGCCAGAAGGTGAAGAAAAGCCTTACTATGGCACAAAACCAGAAGGAAACGAAAATCGTCTCTCCATTGGTGTTCAGGGGCTTATTTTATGTAAATCAGGTTCCACGTATTATCCAATTCAAGGTAAGGTCCACTTGGACAAGTGTTTTCCTAATAATCCCTTTTGTATATTATGATTTATGACTTTGTTTAAAAAGATTGAGTCTAAATGGGTTCATATTTATGCTCAAATTTCTTCGCATGAGCAGGTGCTTTAGCAAAGATAACATGTAAAGCTGTTGATGAGGTTGGGGTCGAGAAAACTCTCTCCACTTGCAGTGGAGCAACTGATGCAAAAGGTTACTTCTTTACTACAGTGTCTCATTTGGATAAATTGAAGCTTAGAGAGTGCAAGGCGTACCTTCAAAGCTCTCCATTGGAAACCTGTAATGTTCCCACGAATGTCAACAAAGCCATTGATGGTGCTCCTCTTTCTTCTTTCCGTGTTCTAAACGAGAAGAGGATGAAATTATACCCCGTTGGGCCGTTCTTCTACACCTCCGAAGCTAAACCTGCCTCTTAAGGGTTACTAAATTTGAATTATTCTTTATGACTAAACAATCCAATCCCCCAATTTTATCTTCTGTTTTGAATTTGGAGATGGCAATTTGAGTTAATTCCTTTCTGTTTCTCCTTTTTTTTTTCCTTCTTTTATTTGGAACTGAATTTTATTGTTTGATGATGATTTTATTCTCTAGCTGGAGTACATGAAGCCTCGGCCAGAAATTTGTAATGAAATTTGCTATATCAATAACATTTTGAGTATGATTAGTATACACTAGACTTTTTTCTTTTCTCTTTTCCTTTTTCTATGTGTTGTTGCATCATTAATGTTATGACTTGTGACTTGTAAGTTGTGACAAATTACGAGGTTGATTATTCTATGCATCGTTTTTCTGCTATCCAAAACATTTATCTCATCTAAGCTCTCAATTATACATCCAATAAATATAATTCTCAAAAATTTAGCTATTGAGTTAAGTAATTTATTATTGAAATTGACTGCACTGGTTGGAAGCTTGGCTTTACTTCCAAAAAAATAACTATGTTGGCTAGTTTTTGCATCCGAATGGCTGAAATAATTAACTTCCATAGAATGAAATAAATAAAAAGGTCACCAGGTTCAATCTAATTGTACAAGTACAGAATAGTTGTCATCAAAGCCAGACAGGGACCAGGCATATCAGGATTAGCAAAGCCATTGAATTCATTAATTATAATGGGGTAATGTTTTTTTCTTTTTCTCCAAATTATTAAATGATCGAAATTGCTCAGAATCGGCAGAATCCCTATATGAACACAGCTGACTGCACTAAATTTTATATGTAAAAGGATGGCGACCTTTATTTTTATCTCTCAAGAGCTATGGCTTCCCACGTCATAATGAAGAATGAATAGCAAGAAAAGGAAGCGTAGGGCTTACCACTTCTTTTCTTTGTTTACATTTTAACAAACCTCAAAAAGATCTATAAAAACTACAAAATGTCAAATAATTGTTTAAATAATAAATTAATAATTTGGAACATTTTCAAGGGACACAAAATATTCTTTCCAACAATGACAAGCTATATTAAAAATTTCCATGCCTTATTGACTGTGGTTTTTCATTTCACGTTGTTGAAGTCTCGATGAACTCTTTGGGAGAAGCATTCACGTTCAGTTTGAGCCACCAGATTGCCTACATTTCCTTTGCTGTCGTGCAACCAAGTCAATATCCTTTTGGTGTTGTCTGTTTTATATAACATTATATAATAGGGATATTTTTTCTCAATAAAGGACCCGAGTAGTAATTAAGCCCTAAATCATAGTCTTGCGTATTTCTTTGTTTGCAATTCCATATCATTGAAACATGGTTCTGACCCGTTTCGTTACTCTTTGCAGCCACTCAGTTAATTTTGTCATCACATCAACGAATACTTTCTTCCAGTATTAATCACTCGAAAAAGGATTTCACCTTAATTTTAATGCTTTAAATTATTTAATTGACAAACAATTCGACTCCAGCCTTGGTTCCTAGAAAAATCGATGGCTTTTGCTCTTTTACGCCCTCGATAGATATTGTATATAGAGCCAATTATTTGGGCACATATATATATATATATATATATATATATATAACAAGAACAATGATCTTTACACTAATTAGTAATTACATTATCGAACTCTATTGGTTATAACATAGTTGGTAGACCAAAGCCAAAAAAAAGGCTGAGTGCACCTTCTAAAATAATTTCTTAGCTTACTGTAATGGTTCAAAAGTCAACAAGCTGGGAGAAACATCCATTTTCTCGATAAATTCAACTGATCTTTAAGAGGAATAGAATTCATGAACCAGGAAAAAAAATCAAAAGTATATATATAGTACAATTCTATACACAATTATTGGCTGGATTTGCACGTCGCATTTGGATAATTTGAGCCCTTTTTCATGCATGCATGGTTGATCTCAACATCGTGCGGCCAAGTCTTTTCCTACCACATCCATTAATATATTTATGTCAAATTCTTAATGCATAGCAATATTGTCCCATGTATCACAACGCAATATATATACTCCCTATTGTCCACCAAGTATTTTATCAATTCAATAATCCTTCTCTCGGCTCGATCAGGACCTGAAAATTAATGGCTCTCGAGAATTTCCTCTGTCTAACCTTTATGCTTCTTTCGTCATTTTCGACTTCTGCTTCGGCTAGCGACGGTGGATATAAGCCCAATCCCAACCTTCACAAAACCAATCTTGAAAAAGAAATGCTTCTCTCCAGAATGATTGGTATTCAAGGGCTTGTTTATTGCAGATCTGGAAGCAAGCTCACCCCACTTGAAGGTAATTCTAATTTCCCCCAATTCTTTTGGATATCTAAAATTCTATACATAATTAGAATTAATGACTTTTAACAACGCAAGTAAAACTATAATTAATTAGCTACTATATGTACACATTTTAATTGCCACTCACAGTAAAAACATGTTACAATCTATTGAAAGTATGCCGCCAATAGACTTAATATCAATTGATAATCTTTGTCATTGCAACTTTGAAGATAATTTTAGATTTTAAATTTAAATGATGTAAAAAAATAAAAAATAATAATATTATCTTATATAATACTTCCTTTATCCCATTTTATTCGATCATTTTTTTTAGAAATTTTAATTTATTATTTTTTACCAAAATTAAATAATAAATATACTTAAATTCTCAAATTTATATCCTTATTTTTTTATTTATTGTCAATTAAAATCATTACAATAAATCCAATAAAGCAAAAAAAAAAAAAAACCTAAAATAAGTAGGACACTAGCTATGGTTTAGAGAATGAGAGATAACAAAACACATGCTACCTAAAAATTTGGAACAAAATGAAATTTGTGCAGAAAGCAATCGGCATCAAATGCCAATTGGTATATAGAAAATGCAAAGATAAAATTAACTTAACCTTTAAGTTTTTTAATGAAAAATATTGAATTATGAGTTTCCCAAAGTTTATGCAAATTCATGGTGGACAAACAATTAAGGAACAGAAAGAATAGTATGTTACTTTTAGCTTGAAAACTTAATCAAATAGTTAAATTTGTCATCAAGGATCCATCCAAATAATATTTTTACTATTAAAATAAGAATTTTGGTAATATTTTGCATGCATTTATAGTAGTATCTGTTTCATGGGTGTAGGTGCTGTGGTGAGGATAACTTGTGAAGGTGTGGACGAGTATGGATACGAAACAGAATCTCTGTCAATCTTGAGTTGTGCAACAGATGCCAAGGGCTATTTCATTGCAACATTATCTCCTTATGAGGTAAAAGAGAACCGGAGGCTTAGAGAATGCAGGGCTTTCCTTGAACTCTCTCCATCAGAGACTTGCGATGTTCCGATGTTCCAAAAGATTTCAACAAAGGGATTTCCGGTGCTTCTCTAGGCCATTACCATCTTCTCCACGACAAGAATATGAAGTTATTCACGGTTGGGCCTTTCTTCTTCATTACACAGCAAGACGCTAAATCAGTCTCCCATGGATATTGAAATATCAAAATGAATCATTTTGTCAAAAATTGTTGGGACTGAGGTTCTCTCAATAACATACTGAATACTCGATTGGCTTTTTTGGTACGTAAGATTGTTAAAAATAAAATTTTGATCATTAATATTAAAAATTTAATATTTTATCAACAAATTATATAACCATTCACAATATTCTATTGGCTTTGGTATGCAATTCGCTTAATTAACTTCTTAGGAACAATGTAAAATATTACATTTGTTTTTATTTTTTATTGGAGCAATTTATTTGAATCCAAGTCAATTACTTACCGTTAGTTTTGCAAATTGTCATCACCGTTAACACGACCATACCTCATATGTAAATTATACGCTGCAAAGGTACTAACTTTTTTTGGGCGAAGTTTTGAACATGTTAACTTAGGTAAATAGAATTCTTTGTTTATTATACCAAGTGCCTAAAATTGCATCTAACCAGAGCAGGGTGGAGGGTTGTAGGAAAGAACTTTATTGTGTTTAGTTCAATTATTGGACAAAAAATATATATTAAGTACTGGTAGTAATTAATTTCAAAACTATAATCGAAAGGGATTTATCGTCTCTATCCTACAACTATATCAGTTTAGTAAGACTTATTTTTATTGGTAGTACGATAGAGCTTTTAAACGTAGTAATTAACCCATTTTCCCCAACTGGGATTAGGATTCGGTTGATCAAACATAAAATCACTTGAGAAAAATTGATCTCTACTGCGTTGTTGTACCAATGGCTGCTTTTCTTTTTTTTTTTTTTCGAGATTATGATTTGATTTCTATCATTGGCTTTGGTTACGTATCATTTTGGGAGGTGAAAAAAAGGGTATGTCTAGAAAATTAAGATGCCGAATTGCCAAGTCAGGAGTCTGCCCAAAGAAATGTCCGCTTCAAGCTCCGATTTTCATACTTCACTCCTTCCGAGGTCAATATCCTATCATCAGCCTCTCTCTCTCTCTCTCTCTCTCTCTCTCTCTCTCTCTCTCTCTCTCTCTCTCTCTCTCTCTCTCTCTCTCTCTCTCTCTCTCTCTCTCTCTCTCTCTGTTCCTCTTTCAATAATAGAATCCCTTTGCCAGTTTACCTTTATTGATTAAAGCCTATAATCAAACAGAACAAGAACACAAGACAAGAAATTTTAAACCATCTCTCCTAGAAAAAAAAAATTATATATGGAGAAGCACAAGAGGATTTGTCGACAGGGGAGAAAGCAAGATAACATTTACAAGGGGGTGCGAAAAGGATTTATGTATAAAAAATTACGAAAACTATATCTATATATCTATATATGGCTTGGAGGACAAAAAAAAGATAGAAAAAGAAAGTGTAAGAGAGAGAAAGTGTGAAGAATTGGCCTCTTCGAGCTAAGATATAATGAGGTTTTAAATAGAAAAATTTTAACCTATTAACAATACTTATGTACAGTTGCCCGCTATAATGTACAGTAAAATTTTTATCTACAGTACCACTACAGTGACTTGCTACAGTGTCTTCCGTAGTAGGTCTTTGTCTTTTTCTGCTACAGTGACGTTAATTTTTTTTACAGTGACTGCTACAGTATTTTCTGTCTGCTAGTCGTTGGCGCCGAATGAAGTTTTATCCTTTTGTATCGGCTGTCTGTTTCTGGCTTATTCTGGATTAGAGTTTGCACAGTTTATCCTTCCATAGCATTGGTTAGGTTATGAAATTTTTCATCCAGTGCGTTAAGGGACTGGGGTGATTGTGGAGATCCTGAATGTGATTTGTTCCACATCTGCCATCCTTCTTGATACTGGTATAGTAGATCGGTTGGATGATCGAGATCTTCTATTTTAGATAATTTATCCAAAAGCTCAATTGCTTCTAGTGCATTTTCGATGTCAAGATCTTCATGTGGTTCAAGAAATATTTTAACAAAAATGCGTCTGTCATCTATCCAATAGGCTATTTTTGGATAGTCTTGTTTAGTGGCTAAATGGAAAAAGAATTTTGCTTTATCCATAAGGTCAGTTCCTGTTTGGAAGTGATAGGAGTTTGGGTTGGTATATTTAGAGATGATCTTGTTTAAATCATCAGAGAATTCGATATGGTCTATGGGTGGATCAAGTATTTCATAGGGTTGTAGAAAGTGTCCACCAGATACGGTATCAAATTCCCATATTTGATAGGGTTGGTAAAATATTTCTCGTTGAAAGGTACCCAAAAAATTATATATAGTAAAATGAACGTAAAAAAGGTGTTTTGACCATTTGATACATTCAAAAAAGCATTGCTTTATAAAAGCTGAAAAATCTTTTAAAAGATGAAAAAAATAATTTTGTACAGTTATTTATCCAACTAAATCAAGTTCAATACTTTTTATATCAAAACTTTCATGGTCAAGTCAAAACTTTAGTTTAGGTATGTACTCACCAAAAGATGTATTATACATATAAGTAGAAGTATAATAATTTAAAAACTTTTTAACCAACAGTTTTTCTGTTGACTGTAAAATAAAAGTTTGCTGGAATAGTTCTGGGGTTAAGAACACCGTAGCTTTTTCAAAGAGAAGAATTCTTTTAAGCTTGTTTAGCTTAGAAGAAAGGAAATTATCTTTCTCAAAATATTCACATAAATTCAAGAAATTGTTTATCTCTTGAAGACTGTACTGATTTTCTTCCAAAGCAAAGAAATTAATATCTTGCTGTTTTAGCAGATTTATTGATAGAAGACTTTGGAAAGCTATTTCTTTAAAATTCTAAAATTTTTTAGCCTGTTTGACTAAGAATTCAGCTAAATTGGTCATCCATTTTCGAAAGTTAGTTTTGTTTTTTGAGAGATGGGATTTTCAAACTTTGTTTATCAAACTGTAGACTTGTGGTTCAAGTCCAGGATTGTAAAAATCTTTCATCTCTGTGTTAGAGAATGTAAAGTTTGTTCTTGCCAACAGTTGTTCTGTGGAAGAAACAATTTGAGAATAACTCATAGGAGTCCAGTCGTTTGGATCTTGAGCAAACTGTGAGTATTCTGGTTGAATTCTCATGAAAGGGGGTCGATAAAAAGGTTGTTGGTAGAGATATAATCCTTGGTTAGGATTATTGTAAAAGTTAAATCCTTGATTAGGATTTGTAGAGATCTGGGGTTTTGGAAAAGAAGGAGTAAAAGAGGAAGAAGAAGAAGAAGGAAATTTTTTACCTGATTTTTTCTTGACAGTTTTCCATCCACCAGTATCATGGATTGGGTGTTTTCCTCGATCCATGAGGTCTACTTAAGAAATCTGCAAGGAGATTTTTGTCTCCGTTGATGAGCTCTACCTGAAAATGATAAGAACAAAGAAAATTGTACCACCTAATTCGCCTGGGATTATCAGAAAGCTTTCTATTTTGGAGAAAGTTTTTTACTGCTTAGTTATCTGTTCGGATAACAAAAAACTTCGGGGCTAAATAGATGTGAAATCGCTGTACATCATTTTTTATAGCTAATAATTCTTTTTCAAAAATAATATAATTTATTTCGTTCGGTTTGAACTTACCAGAATTATATCCATAAATTAATTCACCTTTTTGATGAAGATTTTTGGCTTTTAAGACACATTCTCAATGTTCATCACTGGCATCTGTCTCTAAAATTAACAGGTCATCTTGTTTAGGTAAACAGACCTTAGGTATAGTGGTTAATTCTAATTTGATCTGTTTGACAATATCAAAATCTTTAGGTGTCTAGACAAAATCATTATCTTTACGTAATTTACGCAAAAGATAGCTTTCCTTTTTGGAAAGGTTTTTGAAAAATTATATGCCATAATTAAGTATACCTAACAGCTGTTGTAGCTGTTTAACATTTTTCAGTTCTTTTGGAAAGTCTCTGATCTTGGAGATAATGTGATCCTGCAGGGTTAGTCCGTTTGCAGAAAGATTAAGACCAAGAAATTCAACTTCAGTTTTTTCAAGTTCAACCTTTTTGGGACTTAAAATAATACCGTGTAAAATAAATTTTTGAGCAATAATATTCAGGTGTTTCCTGTGCTCATCAAGAGTGTTAGAAAATATAAAAATATCATCAATATATACACAGTAAAATTGTTTATGTTTGCTGAAAATACTATCCATCCAACGCTGAAAGATTTGAGGTCGTTGCATAGATCGAAAGGCATAACAGTCCATTGGTAATGGCCTACTGGTGTACTAAAAGCAGTAAGGGGTTTAGAGGTTTCATTTAGCATGATTTGCCAAAAACCTGACTTACAATCAAATTTAAAAAAATATTTAGCATTTTTTGCTAAATTAATTAAAACATCTTTACGAGGGATAAAATAGCCATCAAAAATAAGATTTTGGTTTAATTTCTTGTAATTAATAACCATATGGGGTTTACCTCGTTTAATCTCAGAATGGTTTCTTACCATGAATGCTGGACTGGAGTGTGGACTGGTAGTTGGTTCTATCAAACCTTTGTCAAGCAATTTTGAAATTTGAACTTCAAATTCATCTATATCCTGTTTGGTATAGATCATTAGTTTTACTCGAACGATCTCTTTTGGGGATTGAAGAGTAAGCTCACAGTATCTTGGATTGCGCTTCCAAAGCTTCAATGGGTCTTCATTGAAATTTTCCTGTAAAATTCTATAAAGCCAATGTTTTTCATTAATAGCTTTAAGTTCAGAAATATGTATTATTTTTGGATGAAAACCATTATCACAAACATGATTGTGCTTGGATAATAATGGAATATATATTGATTTTTTATCAATAGTAAAAACAAGATAATCAGAGAAAACTGAAAAGGGTAAATATTTATGTATAAAATTATTTCCTAATAACATGTCTCCATGCATATTGGGAAAACATAATATTTTAGGTATAATAAACTTTATATCATTTAAGGCAATAGGTATATTCTTTGCCTTTAGGTTAACAATGGTTTCTTTACCATCTATACTTACTATTATTATAGGATGCTTCATAGGTTGTCATTTGGTTGATGGCAAAGCATTAGGTCGACAGTTAGAGATTGTTGCTCCTGTGTCAATCAAAATATTCAAACTATAGGGTTTATAGTTTTGAAAATAAAAATAACCTTCAACATAAGTATAATATCTTACCTTGTTAGCAAATGATATTATCTCATGAGAAATTCAAAAATTACTTATAGAATGAAACATTTTAATATCTTCATTTCTAGGTTTTTTAGAAGAAGAAGTGTGTGAGTTAATCACAGAATTAACAGAATGATAATGGGTTTGATTATCAACTGTACCTTATTGAGATGGACTATCTCCGGCAAAAATAAGAATTTGAGCAATAGTAGTACCTGATTGGCGCATACTATTTGCTCGTCTGAGGGTTTTTGTACTGTTGGTACCTTGAAATCCTGAAAAAGAACTTCGATATGGAGTACAAAAAGATTGATTACTAGTTATACTCTCAATATCATCATTTGTTTGATGTTAAAAAATATTTACTGGGGGTAAAATCAGGTATGGATTGAAACTGGTTGTTTCATTCGGATTTTTAAAGTAAAGATTTTTTCCTGATGAGAAAAATTTTAAACTTGGAACTTTCTGTTTTTCAGAAGTACTAGTAAGATTTTCGAGACACCATCCTTTTGGGATTGATAAGTTTGTAAGATTTACTAATCTAGGTTTAATTTCTGAATTAAAAGAGTTTGGTTCAAAAATTTCAATGATATTAGAATCTATCGATTTGATAGAGGCATTAGTAGTATTTGTAAATTCATAAACCACTGACCAGTTGATTGAAAGATCATGCGATGTCGATTCGAAATTAGAATTGAGTATTTTGATTCGAAGACATAAACATGTTTCAATGTTTTCATCAAAAATAGAAATAAAATAGTTTGATTTTACTTTAAATAAAACTACTCCTGCTGCTAAATTGGATTGGATTCCTCTGATTGCAACATTTGCAGGGTTTTGAAAACGATGGCCCATTAAAACAGCTATTATGGGAATATCCTTTGTGGATAAAAATAGTGGTTTAATGGTGATCAAAATCATTCTTATTGGATGTATT